CGGGGGGTGGGATGGGGGGAAAGTCCATCTCCCTGGCCTGTCCTACCCTCAACCTCCCTCTACAGGGGCAGTTATTGCCTAGGGGTGTTGATGGAGGTGGGAGGGGAGTGAGGTCTAGTGCTCAGAGCCGGACTCCTGGGTTCTCTCCCCAGCTCTGGGAGGGGAGTGGGATCTAGTGGTTAGAGCAGGGGGGCTGGGAGCCAGGACTCCTGGGTTCTCTCCCCAGCTCTGGGAGGGGAGTGGGGACTAGTGGTTAGAGCCATGGGACCAGCTTGGAGGGAAACATCCCCACATCCCATTCCCTGCCCCCGCCAATCTGAAAGATCAAAGTCCCCGAAGGAAAGGCCCGGTCCCAGAATGCCCGGCGGCCTCTTCTCTCCCTTCCTTCCCCCCCAACCCTGCACTGTCACTGAAGAGACATCTCCCGCCCATCTCCCCACCGCCCATCTTCCGCCCCCCACCCCCTGGCTCCCCGATCCCGACGCGCCAGCTAATTGGTCTGGCAGCCTCCCCTCGGGCTCAGGGCTCCTGCCAAGAACACGAGGGCCGGCCGCCTATTTTCAGTGCAAAAGGAGCCGGGGATATAAATACAGCCGGCCCGGCGCCCAGACGCACCAGTGACGGGCGCCCTCCCTCCCGGAGACGGGGCCCTCGCATCCCCACCCTCATCCCTTTCAACCGGACGGGGGCCCCCGCTCCGCCCCCGCCAGTTTGAATCAGCTGCTGGCTACGATTCCCGTCCCCACCATGGCCCGGTGCCGCTCAGAGCCTAACCCAGTCCTTACGGCTGCAGCTCCAGCCCGAGCCTGGCTGGGCCTGGCAAAACGGCGCAGGGGGGATTTGCTACGGTGCAATTCTCTCCAGGGTGCCGGGCCTGGGGAGAGGGGCCTGTACTGGGAGAGCAGCCTGCAAAATCTAGACGCGTGGGGACTTCTCTCCCGGTATGAAAGGGGCCCTACCCTGGGGGAGTTTATTCCAGCAGGTAGACCCGTGCCAGCACTTTTAGCTCGGTATAACCGCCCCCACACTCAGCTGGGCTGGGCTGGCACGAGCCAGCAGGAGTTTGGTGCGCCGAGCAACGCGGGTACCCGATGCCACACAAAATACCCGCGAGCACTCAGGTCGTACGTAAACTTCCGGGCACAAGCCGCTGCGTTTGCCAGGGCCGACCCACCGCGGCTAGAAACCAGCCCCTCTCCTGGGACGCGGGGCCCACGGCCCAGCAAAACAAGGACAGATGTCTTGCCAGTCGCCAGCGTCGCTCAGCACGCGAGGGAGTGGGGAGGGCAGAGCCGCCGGCTCACGGACTTAACTCCTATGGAAAGCTAAGAGTCCGGGCGTCTTTTCCCCCCGGCACAAACCCGCCTCAGTCCCACGCGCGGAGCGGCACCGAAAAGCCTTCCCTGGCCTACATGCCAACATGGGAATTTCCCCCCGCGCCGGGGGAATTTCATGCCACGTTCTGAGCCGCTTTGGCCAGCATAAGCCACAGAAAAATTCCAGCCTCTCTCGCCCTAAGAGACCCCGCTTTGGGGGCTCAAGGTGCCTGGCCGGCCTGGTTCCTCTCCTCCGAATGGCTCCAGGTCGCAGGCTCTTTGCCCCGGGCATGCGAGCGAGACACGGACCCGCTGGAGAGCAGGTTCCGTTCCCCACCCCACCCGCCAGATCTCGCCTGGAAAGGGAATCGTGGCATGTCATTGCACAGGAACAAACCGAACTCGGCCTTGCCCCAGGCCGGCCCCTGGGGTCGGACAAGGGAACCCCCAGGCTGGCACCCTGCTGAGCATAAGGGGACCCTAGGGACCGGATAATGGGACCCCCCACTGCGGATAACAGGACCCCAGGGACCAGATAACGGGACCCCCCAGGCCAGCCCCCTGCTGTGGATAACAGGACCCCTGGGACCAGATAACGGGACCCCCAGGCCAGCCCCCTGCTGTGGATAACGGGACCCCCTGGCCCGGCTCCCTGCTGCAGATAACGGGACCCCTGGGACCAGATAACAGGACCCCCGGGCTGGCCCCCTGCTGCGGATAACGGGACCCCCCGGCCCGGCTCCCTGCTGCAGATAATGGGACCCCTGGGACCAGATAACAGGACCCCCGGGCTGGCCCCCTGCTGCGGATAACGGGACCCCCGGGCTGGCCCCCTGCTGCGGATAACGGGACCCCCGGGCTGGTCCATGCTGCGAATAACGGGACCCCCAGGCCAGCCCCCTGCTGCAGATAACGGGACCCCTGGGACGAGGTAACAGGACCCCCGGGCCGGGTCCCTGCTGGGGATCACGGGCCCCCTGGGACCGGATCACGGGGCCCCCCCATTCCTATCACGGGCCGGGACCGGCGCCCGCCTGCGCTGGGGTTACCTGAGCAGGGCCGGAGGAAGGTGTCCGGGCCGGGGAGGTGTTGGCCGCGGAGGGGGCGCAGCTCTCACGGGCTATTGACAAGGCCGAGCCGTGCTCACTGGCCCGGAGAGGCAGCCGGGTGATTATGCAAATTTATGTAAATTTATGCAATTAGATTATTGCATTTTTGGAAGCATCCAGGCCCAAGCCCCCCCCCGCCAGCCGGGTGCCCCCCCAGGAGAGTGGGGGAGGGGACAAAGCCAGGCCCCCCCCGGTCCCCCCACATCAGCCCAGGTGCTACCGGTCCAGTGGCCAAGGAGCTACTGAGCTGTCCCGGACTGGGGGGAGGTGTCCCCGTGCGCTGGCCCCGCCCCCTCCGGAGGCAGCCCACCAATGGCAGAGGGGTGGGACCCTACAGCCGCCCTGAGATAGGTTGGTGGGGGGATGAAGGCCACGCCCACTACGGCGTGGGCGGGAGGTGAAGGTGAGTGGCAGGGGCTCTGGCCAATCGGCGGAGGGGAAATGCTTTTGGGGTGGGGCGAGTGGAAACTGAATGGGGCGCTTTGTGTGAACCTGGGGGGGGACGGGGGATGGAGGGATCAATGGGGCCCATTGTCTGGGGCCCAGAGTCGGGGGGGGCAGATAGTCATTGGACTAGCAAAGGTCCCCCTCCCACCGCAGGCGCGGAACCCAGGAGTCCTGGCTCCCAGCCCCCCCCACACACACACACACACACACACACACACACACACTCTCTCGCCCT